CCAAAACCCCAAAACCCCAAAACCCCAAAACCCCAAAACCCCAAAACCCCTAGTGTCAATAAATACTTATAACTTTGAAAATTAAATTTAATTAAGGTCATTTTGATGTTTAACTGTAAGAGACTTTAATGAATACAGTCGTTATAATTGCTGCTATGCATTGCGCTATCATAGCATACATAGGTATTAATCTATTATGTAGTTCAGCTAATTAAGGAGCCAGCAATGAGCATAATCTACAAACAAAATTGCAAATACCATAACTTGAGGTCAAAAGCTAGGTTGGAAATAAATCTAAATGAATTGAGTACATAGCACTTAAACTCATGCATAATGCAGTTTTAAACAGCAGAAATATAAAAGCAAACACATATTGATTTAGGTTATGTACACATGTCATAATAAAAACTGCTCCTAAACTTGCAATAAAGCTTGCTAATAAACTAATCTTATTATTCGAGATGGCTGCAACTGGCTATGCAATTAGATAGCCAAACATTGATAATGATGCGACTAGCTGATTGACATATATGTTTCCAGGCAAATACTTAACAAAAAAGTCTAATAAGCTGAATATGAAAGTAGAAGTAATCCATCCCACACTGATCATTATCAGGTTATAAACTGCATGTTTAGTATCAAGAAGTGTATCAAATAAACTCTTGCTTGAATTTTATTTCTAAGAAAGCATAATTTTTTAATCGAGAAGACCCTACTCTTTCTATTACTATATTAAATTTATTTCATTTTGCTTGATAAGAGTCTGTGAATCCTCGTATATTTAAAGCTCAATCATAACTCTCTTCTAGATATCTTCTGGGGTATTATTGAAACTCATAATATTTCTGATGTCTTCATTCAATTATGAGTAGTTGTTTTTAATGAGATTAAATTTGATAGATTCGGGAATCCTCAAGTAAGTGTGTGAAATGAAAATAGTAATTAGACTCAGAGATAGGCCAATATATACAAAAACCTGGGTATTTCTAGTAATGAAATATAGTATAATAGGAGATACTGTGAAGACTGCTCCGTCAACAAAGAAAAATAGGCCACTCACAATACTTGTCTTAAGTCCCATAAATTCCATAATGTGGGTATAAAATATAAACTATTTCAGCCCTATGCATACACCATTTAGAGTCAACGCAACATAATAAATATGATTGTTTCTAAAAATCAATAGTATTAGCATAACTGGAACAGTGAGCCACATTGATACATAAGAAAAATATTTCCTTCCATAAGTGTCTGCTAGAGGTGGGAATATTAAAGCAGCAATGGATGTGCCAATGAATTCCATCGATCCAAACAGCCCAATCAAGTATCCTTCACTACAATGCATTTAGAGTCTGTCAATCCAATTATCCATGCTCAACACGTCCTGATAATCAACGAACCAAAGCTTTCCTCTTTATTACTAATTTAATGTCTGGCAGATATACTCATTTTCACAATTCTCATATAAGTTGGTTGTCTGATTTAGACATTTATATTAAGGTAGGATAAGTAAATATGAATAGTTGTAGCACAAGAATGAGTTGGTAATAAAATTTGCGAAATATAGAGCAGCCAGAAATAGTTGATATCTCCCAAATGGTATCATATCAATAATCTACTGTGGCTCAAGTAATTTTGATACATTAAATGACTTTTCTTAATGCTTATCATCAAGTTTATTGTCTTTTTAGATTAGATTTTCATTTAAAACTTGCAATTCTAATATGCTTTAGTTCTGATCTTTGCCGTCTGGACTCTATTCTAAATTTCTTGAATCAAATTTATCCATTTTAAAGTCAGAAATAATATTATAATTTCTATGATTAATTTTTCACAATTAATTACATTTTTTGCATTTTGTAAAACAATTTCATAAATTAATCTTTTCTATATTTCTGATTTTAAATTTTTTGATTAATTCGTATTTTCGGGGGTTTTGGGGTTTTGGGGAGATCGGAAGA